TTTCGGCTTTACTGTAGATTTTGGAGTTATATGATATGCCATAGGCTTTAGTGATGACTATAAGGGTTAGGGTTTGCTATAGAGGTATAGGAATTTGACTACTACACTTCCTTGGGGCTCCTTGTATTTGTTGAGACCCGAGAATGTCTTACCCCGTATTTTGGGGGGGATGAGCGATGTCACGGCGAGAGTTAGGATCCTAGAATAAGGAACTAACTAAGCAACAATCTGACGTTCTAGAGACTATAGGCAGTGTTTAGAATAGTCTGGGGTTTACGGGAGTTCGGGTTTAGGGGTTTCGTGTCTAGGGCTCAGCTGTGGGATTAAGGCCTGCGGTTTTGGGATTTGGGGTTTCAGGGTTGATGAACGTTTACGTGGGCCTCGTCTGTCAGACGGTTGAGGAGGTTCGGTCTCATGTATATAAACGGTCGGGGACTTTTCCCTTCCGAGCTAAAATCTCCTTCATTGCCCGCTTTAGGGTTTAGGGTTTAGGGATACACCAACCCAACACAGACCCCTGTGTAGTTGCGCAGGCCATCCAGGACTTCGCCGGCAGCCTGAGCGCGATGCAAACGCATCGTCCTCGGCTTGAGACCCTGTGCCATTTAAAGGCAGGCCCTACGAAATGGAGCTTCGTTCCTGCTTGCGGCCTTACACTTCTCTTTCTGGGACCTCGCATGAGAAGGACCTGCAAGACTGTCAGAGTCTGGCTGGGGCTGGGGTTTTGCTTTAGTTTCACAATGCTTTTCACATAGATTCCTTGGCTACTCAATCAGTAAGCTCCCTCATGTTGGGAGGATTGAGCAAATCCGGGAGCAGTAGGGGTACCAGCGGCATGTTTCAAGGTGAGACTGATGGTAGAAGGTCACCGAGCCGGGACAAAATGATCAAAAGCCAAAAGGTGTTCGAGGGGAGAACCCTAACCCGGACGGAACCATGTTTCGGAAGGAGTCGTGCTTTGAAGCCCCCTGCTGAGAGCGAGTCGTGCATCATCTTGCATCGCTGGTACAAGCGCCGCCACCTAAACTGGAACCCTAAACCCTAAACCCTAAACCCAGCCGATCGGATCCCAGCCTCACCTACCCTAATGTCTGTTTTCATCGCCCGGCAAGCCTCACCCGCATTCCGCCCGGAGGTTGAGCCCTCGCTTCAAGTTCAAGCGAAATTGATCAGCGGCTCAACAAAAGAGCCGAAGTGTTCTGCATGTTCTGCGCATGTGCATACGGAAAAGACGTGATTTAGCCGAGCGTAGGCACTCTGTCGTGCTCCCTGAGTAACTGAGTACAGGTGCCCTTGGCCGGCAGTGGGCACTGGCATCTTTTTGTTGCTTGAGTTCGATGCAGATGCATATAATTCTAAGTACCAAAGGGAAGCAGTCTCTTCCTCTCAACATTGAAAGGACCCGGACCCCAACTGCACACCCCTTCATACATACATACATGCATACATACATGCATAAAGTTACGTACAAATGCACATGTGTATAAGTATATAACCACATGATTATTTAATCTGTGCGGTGGAGAATTGTCAGCCTCCTTCTGAGACAGAGCAAGGGAGAGCTTGATACAGGCAAGGTAATTACCATCAGCTCCCTATCTTTCAGCCCTGAAGTGACCCCTTACTGTACCCACTAATAGGCCGCAGTTGTACTGTAGTCTTGCCTAATTCAAGATTCGTCTCTGAGTGTATTCTCGGGCACATTTTCGGCGCCAGGGAAGCCCGACAACTAGCATGACAGGTTTCACGGGGGTGTTCCGGTTTGCTTTGAGATGGAGACGATAGTTCATGTCAAAGCCCCATGGCACGGATAGTGTCGCATGATTTCTGCCGCACCACGTGGCTCTGAGACATTTTTGGTCGGGTGCGGGGTGCCACGCTCGGCGTTTGTAATCACGGCCGCTCTCCCAGCCTGCTTTTGCTAAGCTGCTACTGTCGACGGTGAGGACGACGATAATTCCGACTTTGACGATGACGCTGATGATGATGGCCGATATTGGACATGCCATTTTGGTATGCGACGGACATGGTCGCGATAATGCTGAGGATGATGACGGTAATGATGATCACGACTGTCAGTTTCATGACGCTGGTGATGTCGGAGTTGATAGATAGCTCTACAGGAGCTGCTGTTCACCCAGCTTCAGCATTTGCTCGTTTGACAGGGCTTGACGGTGACGCTTCTGCTTGTTCAGCGTAGTCAGGTTTAGGCAGATAGCATGATGGCATGCTGCATGTTCTTCTGGCCCATGTCTCTCCTCACCTGGTCTTCTGCGCAAGATGCTCGGGCTCAAAATTGGCCCAGCACGAAGCAAGAGGTGCGTTTCGTCGCAATGACTGCACAAGCCGAAGTGCCTATTGCTAGCCGAGACCGGCTTTTCGAAATTGTGCGAGACGGCGAGTACGCAGAAGACAAGAAAGTCATATCAACAGCAGATATGTCATGGCGCCACACGGATCTGCAGCAAAATTGTTTTTTTTATCGCGACACGACGCCGTCGAGGCTCAGAACTCTTGGCAAAGCAATGCGCAGCAAGGGGCGTGAATTTAGAGGAGGAGGATGTCTATGGACAGACACCTCTTTTCTGGGCCGCATCGCGTGGCAACATGGCAGTTGTGAAATTTCTGCTTGGCTTTGGATTTGAGATTAATTACAGAGATAATGCCAGAAAGACAGCGCTCTTTTTCGCAATCGAGATTCTCGATTGCGAAAAAGAGAGCCCTGTCTTTCTGGCATTATCTCTGTAATTAATCTCAAATCCAAAGCCAAGCAGAAATTTCACAACTGTCATGAAAGGTCACCTGGACGTGGCCGACTACCTGATCGAGCGTGCTGCCTCGATCTGGGTCCGTTCAAATATTAATAAGACACCGCACTCTATGCTTAAAGTGGGAATGGGTTTATGACGAGGCGGAGCCGCAGATAGACAGAAGGGAGGACAACGTGCTCGTTGAAACCCAGCAGTATCTCGGTAGGCAACTTAGTATGGACATCAACTTGCAAACCGGGGCACTATGAATTGTCATACAGTGTGATATGTATGCAGGTGCGTTGTCATGCGTGTGATCATGGGACTGCAAACATGCTGCGTTGATATGGGTGGTTGTCAAAATTATGGTCCCTTTTTGGGTCCTTAATATAATACGGCACTTATTATTTAGGGTACCCCAAAAGGGACCATAATTTTGACAACTACCCATATAAGATTAGCTTCTTCGGGGTTGTGAGGAGGGCAACGAAGGTTTCATGGTTGTAAGCGTTCTGGGTTTGAATTGCAAGTTCGCCTGATTTTTTTGCCGAACTATTGAGGTACTTTGCCTGCTCCGGGTGACAGACGCAGACTGTGCCAAACGCCTGAGGCGCTCAGAGCTTGAGTTCGCGGGGGACCACGCGCATCTGCACCAAGGCACCACGTGGTACCCCCAGGTGACTACACAGCAAGCTGCCGCTCTAGTCAACGTGCGAATGGATGACGAGAAAGAACATCTGAAAGTGATTGAGCAGTTAGCAAGTGGCTCTCGCCNNGCCCATCTGCCTTCACTCTCCCAGCAGTCTCTACACAGACCAAGACGCTGGCTGGCTACGTGCATGCATCTGTCGAGGACAAGACGTTGAAGATTGCCCACTGCAAGGTGGACCGGCCTCATCAGCGAAAAGGCCTGGGCGGTTTACTGCTGGAAGCTGCCGAGAAGCGCGCTCGGAATCTGGGCGCTTGCATCTCGAAAATGAGATCATCTGTGTTGGAGACAAACGAACCGGCCCGAAAGTGCTATGCTAAGTCGGGCTTCAAGGTTTATGCCAAATCGTCATCAAAGTTTCCGCCGTGCAACTGTACTACAGTTGCACGGCGGAAACTTTGATGACGATTTGGCATAAACCTACTAGTGATGGCGGCTGCAACTGTGACAACAAGATCAGTTGGCTGAAAATGGAGAAGCACATCGCCTGAGAGCGTGCCGGGCAAAACATGCTGCTTATAACTTATGACTGGGGCTATAGAACGCACACGCACGCACGCACCCACGAATTGAAACTGCCAGCGCTTCAATATGCGATGTGTTTGACTCGTCAGGACCATGGCTTGGATGCCTCCTCCGAAAGAGGAGCTCGGGCTTCTGGGTTGAGGGTTTAGTGAAAAACCACAAGACAAAACGAAAAGCGC